ATCAGTTGTTACAATACATAGTTGTTGGCAGTATATAATTTAATGAAACCTTTTTTAAAGCAACAAAAAGTACTCCGTGAATTGAAGACATTTGTTTATGTGATTGTTAAGTTTCTCCACCCATCCATCCCACTATCTTCCATCATCTATCCATCCATTCATCCATCCATTCTCTTCCACTTATCCAATTCAGGATTCCAAGAGCCTATCCTAGCTACCATGGGGCTAGAGGGTGTTTATTAATGCAGATTAGACATGTGTACAGCATGGTGTATTTTTTTAATTAAATGTACTTCATTGATCAGAGAAGTGTAATATAACATGCAGAAATGTTTAATTTGCCTTTATCCTCCATTAGGTTTCCAGCACAACTAAGCAGGTCACATTCTGTGGCTCAGTCTTTCACCAAAGAAGTGATTCTCTTGCCAGACCATCTAACTACACATGTGCCAAGGCGTAACAAAAAGCTTGGCTTTTTGAAAATGGACATATAAAATCTGCACTGGAGTTTAGCTGTGACTGGGACTCAGACAAAGTAATGCAGGCAATAAGGACTGCCTTCCAGCCAGTTGTTGAAGGATGCAGGTAAGCATTAGATCCTTTTTTATAAAAAAAATATATTTTTTGTTACTTAGATTATTATACTATTAAAGGTCAACTTTGGGTATTTCCAAAAAGGATCTGGGAGCACCGATCAGATGACTGGATTGATATCTTTTAGAGTTAACAAAAATTAAGCCTTTTAATGTATTGTATTGTATTGTAGTCTGTTAGCCTTAACAAAAATTTCATATACACTATGTTTTCTTCCTCCCCTAGGCTACAGATTTTGCTGGCATGCCACACCAAACTAGTTGAGCCATCACTCACTTCCAAACAGACTTTGAATGGAGACCTTGTGAAAAAACTGTTTCATCAGAAGTCAATTTATGTCAGACCTGACAAGGTCATCTTATGTGAGGACAATGAATCAGTAAGTAATCCTGATCATTTCAGCAAATGTATGTATTTTCATAAAATGAGAGTGAAAAAGGCAAAGATGGATTTTAAACTCCCTTAAACATTGTCACTTGTATTATGTTTTAATACATAATACATAAACATATTACTAATATTTATTATGACATTTTGTTGTCAGTATAATGAAATGTATTATCTGTTTTAATTTACAGACATATTCTGATGGAGAGAGTAGCCATACAAGCAGGCAGGATTTCACAGAAACGTTGAATTCTGACAAATGCGGTAAATATTCCTATCTAAAAGTCGCTCCAAATAAACTGTAAATTAAGTTGGTTCAGTGTCTGTTACTTAGTCATCTTAGGCATTGTGTCTTTAGCGTCAAGTCTTTGTTAAAATCATATTTAAATTTAGTTTAATATTTTGAGCAGGAAGAAATGTACCCCTAAATACATGAAAAGCAAAAGCTATAAATGTGATTAGATGTTATTCAAAAGTTAAACTCCTGTTCTTTGTGTTCTCACAGTTGAAATTTCTAAAGAAGTTCCCTCAGCCATTCCCATTGTTAACGCACAGTCCATGTCTGTTGATGATGAGGTCATCTGGTGCGTTGCTACCCAAGATGTTTGTACTGTTGAATCTTCCATCTCTGCTGACACCCTCACAATGTCCACCAATCCTGTTGTCGTTGCTACTGATGAGGATGAGCCTTGCTCCAGTGGAACATCTGCCTTTGTCAGTTACAACACACCTGGCTTATCAGTGGGTTCTTCTGCCAGTGTTACTGGTGACACACGTGTCTTCTCTAGTAACACCTCCAGTGTGTCCAATGGACCTACCCAGCCAAGTTTATCCAGCACATCCTACAGGTATGTGTTTTGTACATGTTTGTATCTTTTAATCTTTTGAGCTATATTGTGCAAAAGTCATGACCCACCCCTGCTTTCTTTGTATTTTGCTGGAAAAATAGGAAAGAAGCGCAGTGATTTACTGAAGTCTACAAAATTCTGTCTACAAACAGACATGGAAGCGCATTATATTAGAGTAGAACAAAACTTGTAGAATTTTAATGAGCTTAAAATTCAAAATGTGATATGAGCTACTTTAGTCTTCAGCATAGCTTGAACTCTCTTAACCAAGCTTTCTTGATGGTGATGTCTTCTTTTTATTGAATTTCTTTAAGCATGGTTCAGGAATAGTTTTCCAGGCTTTTTGTTCTGTTCTCTGTCAAGATGATCCCACACAACTTTAATAATGCTGAGGCCAATCTATGTATTGTGATAATGTAATTCTGTCAACATCATTTATATGTAATTTAACTAAATAATTTACAAAACATTCTGGCTTTGCAGTACATATCTTGGCCTGTTTGAGGAAGAATACCTGTCAGATGACCCCGACCTCCAAGAAGCCATTTCAAGGTCTTTAGACTCAAGTGCAAGTGAAAGGTCAGTACAACACAAACTTTTACATGTTGAAAGGTCAACATATTAACCATTATTTTATGTTTGTTGCGGAAAAGGAGTCATCTACTGTCTAGTTTTGGATCAGTTTGAATAAGCAAACTACGAACTGCAACCTGTGATTTCTGTTGTCATTTGAAGATTACCAAGGCTATCAGATTACTTATATTTTACTTGATATATGTTTTGGTTTATTTTTACTTTTTTGAATGGAGGTTGGTTGTCAGTGTTGGATCTTGTTGTTTTTCTTGTTCTGCTTGTATTTATATAGTGTATTTATACTATTTATAAATACTAGTGTATTTATGACAAGATAAAAATGTAAACTTAGTTTAACTTAAACTTAATCTTTTTCCATTATCACAAACATTCTTGATTTGTATCTCTTTTTTGTTAAATATCAATTACAGTCTTAAGAATGGTACATCATTATTCTGTTGGTGGGTTATTGCCATTGAGACTAGTATATTTCTTTACTGTTTTTTTTTTTTTTGTGTGTGTATGTTTCAGTGACGTCCAGAGCTTAGAGAGAATCTTGGGGCAGATTGTTACTAGAGTAAATAATGACAGCACTGTACGCTTCAACATCATAAGGCGAAATGTGTGGGATGGAGCATCCAGAGCCATGGGCAGATCCAATTTTTCACCAGAGAAAAAAATAGATGTGAAGTTTACTGATGACTATGGAATATCTGAGGGTGCTGTTGACAATGGAGGACCTACTCGGGAGTTCTTCCGACTTTGCCTCTGTGAAGTCAAGGACAAACTTGGCATCTTTGAAGGTCCACCCAATGCTAAAGTTCTTACGTGCAATTCTAAAGGTACTTATGATTTTATTAATTGTTGCCATTTGATTTATTTTACATCAATACATTATACATCAATTGGTTTGTGATTACATGTACGAGTTTAGTATCTCATACAGTTAACTAAACACATTTTTTTGGCAATGACAGAATTTTTGTACCACCACAGAGGATTTTAAAAATTAAACCTAGATTGACTGAAGGGAAGATTGTCTGCTTTAGTTGAAAGGTTTGAAACAGTACTACATATTTAGAAATTCTGGTCATTTTTATACATGCTCTCTCATTTCTCAAAAGTAATTATTCAAATGACTGATATGGTGTAATTCAACAATCAAGAGATGCACTTATGAATGGAAACACAGATGTTTTACAACAAGGTGCAATAGTAAATAACTGGAAGGACTTTGCCAGAAAACATCTAAAAGAACTATGCTATACTACTATGAAGATATGGACAGATGACACCAAGATTAACCAAAATGATGGAAGGAGAAAAGCATAGTAAAGAAAAGAATAGCTTAAGTCACACATGGTGGAAGCAGTGTTATGACACGGGCATGAGTAGCTGCCATAGAACCAAGCCACTACTGTTGTCAATGATAGCACTGGTGATTTGTGAAGTGTAAAGGGCAATCTGTTCAGATTCAGCCAAATGCAAATGCTAAATTGATTGGACAGTGTAAATTGATAATAACCCAAAGCATAACAAGCCAGCTCAGTTACCTGATCTGACTGTAAGGCTGTAAAGAATTGTAAAGAATTTTAATCCTTGTATTAAAAATAATACATAAATGGTGTTAGCTTTCAATCACTTGTCTAAAGCAACCATCTTTAAAGATGGTGGATAATGTATAAAATTGACTGTAATTCCTAATCAGCTGGTGCCATTTTTTAATAAAATACCTCGAAGGAATTGCACTTTAGTATCATCTTGATTGTTTGGTATTAAATCCAAGGTGGTGGTGCACAGCAAAATTAAGATGATTTTGTTATTATCCAAACTATTATGGGTGCAACTGTATGGGCAATATTTTTTTCAGAAATAATATTTGGTAACTTGTACTATAAAAAATGCCACAGTAACAAAAATAATGATGCAAGCTTTTGAGATGATGTTTTATTTTATTTGTTAACAGCAATGAAAGATAATGGATACTACTATGCTGGCCAGATCATGGCAATGTCAATTGCCCACGGGGGACAGAGTCCATGTTTCTTGTCTGAACTCTTCTATGAGTGTCTTCAAAAGGGTCCAGACAATGTAAAAGTCAGCACTGATCATATTACTGATGAGGAAACAAGGTCACAAGTGCAGTCGGTGAGCATATTTTCCTTTGGTTCTTTCAATTTCATTGTAGGTCTTTTTTTGCTTGTCCAACATTTTTACTAACACTTCCCTAATTTTTCTTGCCCGAGTCCTGCACCTTTCTAGTAAAAGATCAAACATTTTAATGGCTACAAGAAGGAAGAACTAAAAATGTGTGTGGCAGGTTATGGTTCTGTTGGTTACTGCCCAAGAAACTCCAAGTTTCAGTTTTCAGAATTTAATGATTGCACTTGTTTTCCAGCTTAATAACTTATACCTCAGCCTCCTGATCGGTTATGGGGTTTCATAGGGTTAATGTACTAATTAAACACTGAAGCTATTAGTTTTGTATGTTCTACTAAATAGTAGAGTCAAATAATTCATTTTATAATTTCCTCATATTGTTTTTAGATCATACAGGCCGAGAATGATCTACAGCTGCAAGATGTAGTTGCACAGGCAGCCAGCTTGATCAGTCTTGCTGGTCACAATGTTTGCATAACACTTCAAAACAAACAAGAAACTGCTTTGGATCTGGCTCACTGGTATGTCCTTCAACGGACCCGTGCACCTTTTGAAAGGTATGTCTAAACACATACTGTAATGGTAAAAAATTAAGCCTGTCAAACTAAAGTCACTGTGTTGTGAAACGGGTATTAGCCTGTTTGGGTGGTACAGGTCTGTAGCGCTCCATGCTAGTACAGTTCATAACAAAACAGATATCTTTCATTCATGAAATTAAAATTCACATAAAACGTATCTGTGCCGATGTAGGCATGTGTTTAAATATGTAAATAAAATAGATTCAAATTGAGTAGCATTTGGGTTGATTGTAGACTGACAGAAAAGGTATGCCAATGGAACAAGAGACCAGATGTATTTGAAAGCAATTTGTCACTTTTACTCCAATTCATGACAGGTCCCTGTGTATCATATTTCAGCTCAGTTGTTCCATGTATAGGCATTCTTTATCTGTATCTAAGACAGTCTGGCCCTGTAAGGGGAAAAATGTTCTTCACCTCTGATACAGCAGTCCACAGGAAAGTAAAATGTAATTAGTTCAGAAATGTCTCTTGATAAAACCTCAAACCTCTTGTTATGATACAGGTTCCAAATCCAATCAAATACAAATATAATAATAGTAATATAAAATACAATTTGATTTTGTTTTATTTTGGCTAGGTTCAGAGATGGCTTGAGGTCTCTAGGTGTCCTAGATGCTCTACAGACATACCCTCTTCAGATGAAGTGCCTTTTCGTGAAAGCTGGAATGGCTCTCAGAGCAACTGATATGGAGAATCTATTCCAGATCATTCACTCCGAACGAGGGAGTAATGCATTTCAAGATGAGTGCCGGACCCTGGCTTTCTGGCAAGACTATCTTCAGGAGGCAGAATGTGAGTTTACTACTTGGCACATTGTTTGACCATAAATCAAAATTCTCACTTTTGTGCAGCAGCATCATGAAATTACAGACATAGATGCCATAACAAAAAAGGTAGATAGATAGTACTGATGCAAGTGCTGGGTTTACAAAGAACATTGTATCCAAATGTGATTTCAGTTTGACTTCAGTGTATTAACAGGATAAATAAATAACAGGATAAATAGGAGGATAACTAAATAAATAAATTATTACCAATCCTGTATACTGAGTACAAATAATAGGCTATTGCTGCATCCACGTACATTTAATATGTTGTGGTCTCCACTAACTTCTTTTTTTGACATTGTGGTTTCACTGTATAGCCTAAATAAGCTTCATGTGTGTCTTTCAAATTACAGCTTACTTTTAAAAATATATACATGTTTCACTTTTGATTTAATCTTTTGGTAATTTAATGTATCTGTACATCAGTAGTCTTAGTCAGAATATCATTATGATTTTGTATTTTTCTATCTTATAGTTGAAAATGATGTCTCTTTGGAAGATATTCTTGTTTTCTGCACTGGATGTGACAGCATACCAGCCCTGGGTTTTTCTCCAAAGCCAAGCCTTGAGTTCGTCACTAACTGCAGATTTCCAGTGGCCAATACTTGTGAAAATATCCTTCGTATACCAGTTCATGCAGTGTACACTACTTTCAAATCAGACATGGATTTTGCAATACGGAATTCACCAGGATTTGGAAGAGCATGATGTGTTTTCTTAAGGATTGGTGACATGATGAGGATTTGGGTTTTTTTCTATTTTGCATATGCATTTTTATTTTCTTGTTTTTGTTAATGTTGTTAACCCCGCATCAGAGTACACCCTGGACAGCAGTAGGACTGTATAGCCTAAATAAGCTTCATGTGTGTCTTTCAAATTACAGCTTAAATACCAGTTCATGCAGTGCACACTACTTTCAAATCAGACATGGATTTGATAAGCCGAAGAGAATGGATAGAATAATTTTGTTTCAGTTTATACATGTGGGGCATTTTTTTGTTTTTTGATTATAGTTAATTTGTTTTCCTGCTTATATGGCATGTTTTGCCATATAAGCAGGAAACAAAAAAATATGCCACAATCTCATTGTTATATAGAATTAAGTTTTCTCAAATGCTTCCTGTGTTCAACTATTCACATAATGTGAATTTTCAAATGAGATGAGTTAAGCTTTATTTCAGTGTCCCATTTGAACATTTATGCTTTACACAGAACTTTGTATTAATATCATTTAACTTTTAGCTTAACTCACAGGTTTAAAAATGTTTTTGTTAGGTTTTGGTAAAGTTTTGAAAAGTATTACAGTAACCCTACATACTAAAAGGTAGAAAGACAGTATCTCCAACACTGGCAGCAAAGTTGTCTATAAATGTGACAGACATTGGTTAGGTCAACCTGGTTATGTTACAGGTTGAATATGAACATTATATCACACTATATGACATTACTTATCAAATTATTATATATTATCAAAGTATTATAAACAATAATAATAATGATAATAAACATAACCTGGTTTGCAGGGAGTGTTTTAAGGATTTTGTTTGCATATTTTACTATACTACTTGATAACACGGCTCATTGTAGATTGTTTGGGGTTTTTTTCCTCTTTCATTTTGTTTTTTTAAGACCAGCCCTATTACTGCAGAATATTATTTCCTTCCTATGGGTACTGGAAATACACAAATAAAGTGTTCTGTGTTTCTACTTTTTATGTAATTTGTGTCTTTAAAAAAAAGTTTAAAGAGTTTAAAATGTATAACATATTTTATTTAATGAATGAATCATAATTCCTGTTTATTAACAGATACATTAGTACATCATACAATCATATGTAACATATACTGTAACATTTTGTACTGTGACAAGTATGGTTTGTCATGAAAGAAAGTGTAGTCTAAACACTTTATTTGTCTACTTTTATGATTTAAATGGCACAAGTGAATATGAAGATAAACCAGTCTTTTTATCTTACCTTTCTTTTACCTAAATAATAGTCTTGGACCCTTTTCAGTATCATGATATTTCAAAATTTTTAGTGTCTGGCACTCAAATTTTTTAATTAACACAAACAAATTTACTAATAACTTAACTGAAGCATGCGGCATGCTGTCAAAAAACTTCTATCCCATGATTTCCATCGTCACTCAAGGGGTCGATCTGCCTCAAGTCAGCCGTCAACTGCTGGTGATGGTAAGAACGATGTCTGAAGTGCACTTGACTGAGCGGTCTGTGATGCTGAGGAAGTTGCAACATTCCAACAGTCCACAGCTGCAGCGGGGAGTGATTTTCCATTGTCCTTAAGCTGTGATGGTTCCACTGATTTACAAATTCATCCACAGATCTGTTAATTCTTGGAAGATATACATGGTGAAGAGCCCTAATATGAAATGGATCAGTGCTATCTAAAATCCCAACATTTTCCATAAAGAGGAAAAGGTCTTTAAAGTATGCTGACACAACTCTGTTTAGTTCACCCCACAATCTTTCAATTCTTTGATTATGCACACTTCGTCCAACCATAAAGCTTCCTCTGTTTGGCCCTCGATGTTCAATCATAAACCGTGCAATATCAATATTCTCACTGCCAGCATCACCCTGACACGTTGTGGGAGGCCAAAGAGATCAACGGCACTCTGGAAAAGTTGCATAGCAGTTGATGCTCTGTTATCTGTGCAGCAGCTCATGTAGGTAATGCAGCGACTGTAGCCGTCAACTCCTCCATGAAACACAAACCCCCAAGGATTTAACTTATGGTTTGTGTCAATATGCCTGGAATAAGAAGAAATATATTATTATTATGACACTAGATGTACATTAAAATAAAGGTCTATGACTTTGACTTTGTACTTCTGTCATGTAACCTATTTCTGGAGATAAACAATATTTTAAACCCAGACATTATACAACATTGTTTATTAAAACACAAACAAAATATTATATTACTACAATGCAGGAAGTAATAATTAACATTAATCAAATTTAAGACAAAAAGGCATACCACACTTGATTTGGGACAGTGACATTGTAGACCCTCCGCTGAATTGCTCTCTGTCCTCTCAAAGCTCTTCCCACTGGATCAACTATTCTTAAACGTTCTCGCACTCGCCACCACTGAACTCTGATTCCTTCTCCTCTCAAACTACCACTAATGTAGGATTCTCCTGAGCCAGGGGTATGTGTAAGAATCTCAGTAATGAGATGATCAAGATCCACATTTGAAATATTATTAAAATTTCCATAGTCCACTAAACCTAGTTGTATCCTGTGGTTGTACAGTGTTCGAACATTTACTGACAACATTTGAGATATGGCCATCCAACTAAACCCCAAGTCTCGCATGTCAGTCAGCTGAGTAGCTGGTATGTTGTACCTAAAAGAGTTAGAAACAAAGAAGAAATATGTTAACTTCTTTCTTATTTCTTGCATTCATTATCTTGTTTGCCATCTCTTGACTCTTTCAAGTGCCATACACATTATGAATGAATTTGTTTCCATTTTTATCACTTACCTTGGCCTTCCTCTTTGAGATGTAGAATGATATAATGAGCCCATAACATGTGCTTCAGCTTCTGCTCGAAGTGTTAGCTCAGTTGACATCTCCATCAGTGATTGATAAATTCCCTCAAGAAGTGTGCATAATCTTCTCCCAGAAACGTTTTGTTGAACATTATTCATGAGCACTAGAAATGTTGCAATAATGAAAACGTGTTCTTCAAGGTGACGTAGTATAAATTCCAAATTATTTCTACCATTTGCAGTTTGAACAGCTGTCGCAAAACAGTTGTCAAGCTCTAAAAAGTACTGAAATAGTTCAGCTGATGCCATTTTGTAAAGGCAGAGAATTCAGAAACACATCATCTCTAAAAATAAGGTTCATACGTTCTATATATTCAAGTTTCATTCTATATATATTCAAGCTTCATTCTATATATTCAAGTTTCATTCTATATATTCAAGCTTCATTCTATATATTCAAAAGATCATTCTATATATTCAAGTTTCATTCTATATATATTCAAGTTTCATTCTATATATTCAAAAGATCATTCTATATATTCAAAAGATCATTCTATATATTCAAGTTTCATTCTATATATATTCAAGTTTCATTCTATATATTCAAGTTTCATTCTATATATATTCAAGCTTCATTCTATATATTCAAAAGATCATTCTATATATTCAAATTTCATTCTATATATTCAAGTTTCATTCTATATATTCAAAAGATCATTCTATATTCAGTTTCATTCTATATATTCAAGTTTCATTCTATATATATATTCAAGTTTCATTCTATATATTCAAAAGATCATTCTATATATTCAAGTTTCATTCTATATATTCAAAAGATCATTCTATATATTCAAGTTCATTCTATTATTCAAGTTCATTCTATATATTCAAAAGATCATTCTATATATTCAAGTTTCATTCTATATATATTCAAGTTTCATTCTATATATTTCAAGTTTCATTCTATATATTCAAGTTCATTCTATATATTCAAGTTCATTCTATATATTCAAGTTCATTCTATATATTCAAGTTCATTCTATATATTCAAGTTTCATTCTATATATATTCAAGTTTCATTCTATATATTCAAGTTTCATTCTATATATTCAAGTTCATTCTATATATTCAAAGTTCATTCTATATTTCAAGTTCATTCTATATATTCAAGTTCATTCTATATATATTCAAGTTTCATTCTATATATATTCAAAAGTTCATTCTATTATATTCATTTATTTATATATTCAGTTTCATTCTATATATTCAAGTTTCATTCTATATATTCAAGTTCATTCTATATATTCAAGTATTCTATATTCAAGTTTCATTCTATATATTCAAGTTTCATTCTATATATATTCAAAAGATCATTCTATATATTCAAGTTTCATTCTATATATTCAAGTTCATTCTATATATTTCAATTTCTTTATATATTCAAGTTTCATTCTATATATATTCAAGTTTCATTCTATATATATTCAAAAGATCATTCTATATATTCAAGTTTCATTCTATATATATTCAAAAGATCATTCTATATATTCAAGCTTCATTCTATATATATTCAAGTTTCATTCTATATATATTCAAAAGATCATTCTATATATTCAAGTTTCATTCTATATATTCAGACTTTGGTTGGAATATATATATATAATATTTTCCTAAAGGGCATTCCATAATATATGTATATGTATATGTGTGTGTGTGTGTGTGTATATATATATATATATATATATATATATATATATATACTGGTGAGTGTCAGCACCACAGTCCAGGATGAGACAAGGAACATCCAAGAATACATTGGGAAGATGGCCCCAACTGACCGAGTGCTCAGTGAATACCTCAGGCAGCAGAAACCCAAGAAAGAGGAGGGAGACGAGGAACCATCATGGAAGGACAGGCCCCTGCACGGTATGTACCACCGGCAGATAGAGGAGGTGGCTGATATCCAGAAATCCTACCAGTGGCTGGACAAAGCTGGACTGAAAGACAGCACAGAGGCACTAATCATGGCAGCACAAGAACAAGCTCTGAGTACAAGATCCATAGAGGCTGGGGTCTATCACACCAGGCAAGACCCCAGGTGCAGGCTGTGTAAAGATGCCCCAGAGACTATCCAGCACATAACAGCAGGGTGCAAGATGCTAGCAGGCAAGGCATACATGGAACGCCATAACCAAGTGGCCGGCATAGTGTACAGGAACATCTGTGCCGAGTATAACCTAG